GTGAATTTACTGCTGAGCTTACTGTGGCTCGAGGCAGAAAGTTCAATATGGTAACACTTTGTCCTCCCTGCGGCTACAGAAACATGTAGTTACTGAACTACAGGGTTAATTCGCTCTACAGGGACGCCTCGGTGAGTTGATCGGAAAGTACAAACCAATCGCTGGATTTAATCCAAAGAAACATTTATTAATCCAAAACTCACCCCAGAATTTACAATCTGCTCAAAATGTTTGCATAGGTCGTGCAAAATTACCATAAATAAAGGCTGACATAAGTTACTTTTTACGTTTGATAATATTACAAGATGAGGGGATTTTTGAACAAAATTGTTCATTTTTAAAACAGACAAATGGTTCAGTAAGTGACTAAATTTGCTTTTTTAAACCTGGATATTTAATTGACAGTGTTGGAAATTAATCAGGTGGATCCTTTAAAATGTAGCTTACTTTACCGGTTACCTGATCTAAAAAGTAACTAAGTTAAGTTGCTTCCTCAACCTGAAAAGTGAATTTTTAATAGTAACATCAACAAGAAAATGCATGTTTCTATAAAAAATAAAATAAAAACCGTCTTTACCCACTTAACATAAATATTTTGTGGTTTTGCACAAACGTCTGGCCTTAAAGTTGTTTTTTACATGTTTGACCAAACTTGTGAAGCTATTGGTGTATTTAAATGTGCTGCTCTGGTGCAGATTTCTCAAATAAATATGTAATTAATTACGTTTATGTCTGTGTTTAAAAACAAAAACATTTCAAGTGAATTCAGCTCTGATCATATCGTTGTTGGTCGATACTAAACCTCAGATATCGGTACTGGACGTGAAAAAAGTGGAGAAATTAGAGAACAAAATACCAGCATCAGTGTTTCAGAACAGCACAAAAGTAACTCTAAGTAGTTTGAAACAATCTTAAAAAATGTTTTTTTCTTTTATTAAATGTTACCCTCTTCATTTCACCTCCATTTCACCCTGCAAATTATTCCTATATTATTTTATTCTACTGCAGATTTTGACCCACTCTGAAAATACGGTGGAGGAGTTTTGAGTCCAGCTGAAAATATTTTACGTAGAATAAAATATTTGTAGGTTTTCTTAAAACCTTGTGATTGCTGCTAATTTTTTATTCGGCGTTTTGTTTTTTCGTCTATATTGTTTTAGCCGTAGTGAAGTTGGATCCCGTCTGCAGGCTTAAACACAACGCCGCAGAAATGAACCTCAGGTGAACTCTGATCCTGCAGAGCCGGCGAGAGACATCCTGTTTTTGAGAGCAAAAGAAAATAATAAACAGACATGAGCAGAGAGAGGGAGACACAGCGACCCATTCATTAGTGAGGCTGACCCTGCAGGGACAGAGACGGCGTTCATTAAATGGACACTTGAGGCCCAGTCAGAGATCAGACTCCGGTTCTGACAGGGAGGATATTACGACCCAAACACGGCAGAGACGGAGGGAGATGATGTCAGGGGACATCTTGGGCCAACATATTACTTCATCAGGACATTTTTTTAATTTTTAGACCGTTTACTTGGCCTCATAACACACTACTGTAACATTTTTTTAAAATAAATCATAATCAGGCTTTGTAACACTGAATCACAAGATTTCCAATAAATATGTTTAAAACTAAACGTATCTGCTGGATGTCCATTAAGCTTAAAGAAATTTACAAAGATGTAAAAGTCAAACCTCTACTGCCCTGACTCTCTTTAATATTTTTCTTTGCAGTGCAATTGAAGGTACAGTGGAGTACTGTCCAGATTCCACCACCAGCCACTTCTTTTTAAATTTAAAAGATTGTGAAACTGTCTTTCAGGATGGTCTGAGTCAATATTCTGTCTGAAGTTTCTTCCAAAGCCTCTTCCTGCCGTTTTCCTTTCATTCTTAATCCTGTAGTTGTACTTTGACCTTCAAAAAGACTGAAGAAGTGTGAGATTATCTGATTACAAGAACATCTAAGGATGGGAGGAGATTAAAACTCCCTTAAGGGGATCAAATTTGCAAACCCCTTGTGTGCAATAGTAGAAATAAAAACGTTAACTCAACAGCCAATGTTAGTTTATGACGTGCAGAGTTGTCCTTAAAAAAGGGCGAGTTGAGACCAATAAACCAGACTGAAAACTTTTACATCACTCAGTGTAGTTTATCTGTGTAGCACATTTCAGCAGTAGAATGCTTTACATCGCAAAAACACAAAATTAAAAAGTTTTAACGAAAACACCAGACAGTCAATAGCTGAACAAACATTACATTTTAATGAGTGCCATCACCAAAGTCACACAAATCAAATGGTTTTCACCCACCAGCAAAAAACGATAAATCATTCATTTGTTTTAATTTACCATGTTTTTAATTGATGCATTGCGACTGGCCTAGTTATGTTTTGTTTTCAAAATTTAACAGAATTTACCACATTTTAATCTGCATATTAGTCTTATTGTTTTTTACACTAGTACTCACATTTTTAAAACCTTTTTTTGTAACCCTTCTTTGTTTGACTTCACAGCAGACACGCCCAGGTTCACTGTATTTATTCTACCAAGAGATAAAATCAAGTTGGCAGTTCACCTCAGCCTCACAGACAGCAGCAGAAAGAGGGGCGCTGCCTGCTACAGTATTTAACATAAATTCACACCATGAACCCACATAACTACTCTAATTTTTTAATATAAATGATAAAGAATATATATATATATATATATATATATATATATTCAGTCCATGAGAGATAAAATCACACACATAACATTCAAAAACTATCACACAAAGCATTACTTTGCTTTAAAAGTGATAAAAGTCCTATACATTAAATAAAATACAATAAATAACATGACAGTTGATAGCAGTTAACAGTTGCAAAATTAAACACAGCTAAAATACAGGTAACGGTTTAAAACGTATACAAAACATGGCAATATTACGCATAAAATTTGTCTAAAATATGTGTTAAAATATGGTGCTTGTAAAGAAAACGCAGATCTGATCACAACACCGCAGTTACGAAACAGGAAAAGGGGGAGGAGCTGTCGGTTACTGGTTGCTACGGTAACCACCAACTGCCACGGCAACTGAACTTACATGGCAACAATAAATGTCAGGGAGAAAATAACTTTTAGCCAAACAAACCACTAGTTCCTCTGAGGGAAACATCAGGCTACAGACGGCCGCTCTTTGTTGCTGTGCTATCTAATTATAACCAGAAGCATTTTGATTTGCCACATACTAACATAATCAACTTGGTAGTTGAAATGTGAAGCTTTCTATTTAATTAGATTTCTCTCCTGTTGTGGTATTAATAACCTTTGGGTGACACAATCAGACTACAGCCAAACTGTGTTAATTAATCCTTTTTTTTTTCTCATTATGTTTGATCACAGGTTGGTTAATTTCAGATTTAAGAACGCTTACAGAGCTGTTGCTTTTTCACATTAGGGCCAGGGTAGAAATAAGGAATGCAATTCTGCCAAAAAAATCTTGAAAATTAATACAAAAAATAGTCAAAAATTGTCTAGAAATAAATTAGATTTTGAGATTAATCTCAGAAATTTTCTAGAAAAAATGTGGCAACTTATGCGTCTTAAAAAATCCCTAATTTGCTAGAAAAAAAATTTCCAGAAAAAAAAACATTTCAACTTTTGAAATGCAGAAATTTCCATGTTTTTTCTGCAAAGTTTCTGAAATCAACCTCAAAATTTCAGGGGTTTTCTCTAGCAAATTTTGACTTTTCAAATTCAGAAATATTTTTGACTCAGAAATGTCTTTTTTTTTTTTTTCCAAAGAATTTCAGAGTTTAATCTAAAAATGTCTGAGTTTCTTAAACAAAGTTTTATGTCTAAAATATCCCTAATGCATCATTGTAGTAGTTGAACTCTGACATGTAATACAATATAAATCATTCTAGTTTTCTGAAGAAAACTGTCTGACTCACAAAACTCACAAGATCATTTTGAGAGTTTGCAACAGAGTTTTGTCCCTTATTTATTACCGTAGTTTAGATCAGAATTCCTGACAGCACAGATGGGAGCTTTAAAATCTCACTAAATGACTCAGATTCTGCAACATTTGCAAACATGTCCTGTTCTTTGCATCATCTGTGCACTGGGTTGTATAAGTATTCATGCAATGAAACCGTACATCTGGGCCGGAGATGTTTGTTTGGAAAATTGCTGGTACTGACTGTTTGAAGTAATATATGCTGGCTGCCAAAAGGGTTTGATGAATGCCACAGATAATTCACAGCACTTTGGTCTTTCAGCTGCTTCCCTTTGATCACCTATCACCATCACTATCCCAGATAATAATAAAAAAAAAACATTCACTTGCTGTTTACCATTCAGAAAAAAAATCAAAGGGTAATTTTGTGTCTATCAATTTGTACCTGCTGCATTCTAACTTTTCTGTTATTTCCCCCCCCCCCCAATTTATTTTTAATCAAAGCAGTTTTCCACCTTTGTCAGTATTGTTGTTAGATTTGTTATTTTCCTGCAGATTCGGTTAATTTGTAGAGTCAAATACAGGGAGTTTTCAGGCTCCCTGTAGCTCAGAGAATAGACTTTAAAACACTGCTGTTAGTTTATAAATCACTGAACGGTTTTGGCCCCACAATACATTAAAGATCTGCGGTTGTGTCAACCTTCTAGACGTCTCAGGTCTTAATGGTTCTGGTTCTGCTCTGCATCCCCAGAACCAGAACCAAATGAAGAGAAGCAGCATTCAGCTTCTATGTACCACAAATCTGGAACAAACCTCCAGAAAACTGCAAACCTGCCAAAACACCGAGTTCTGCACGGAAACCCCAAAACCTGCCTTTGATTCACAGTACCTGGAACTTTGGTCAATATGTTAGATGTATATGTATTTAAAGGGGCAGTATCATGTAAATTTGACTCTTTTGAGCTTCACATCATGTTATGATGTCATTCCCTCATTAAAATACGGGACGAAACAATCTGCTAATTCAACTGGCAGATTGTTTCACTTATTATAATATATTTTGCATCATGCATCAAACAGGATTTATTTATTTTTCTGACGTTGCTCCTTCCTCCTCGCCATGTCTGATCCTGTCCGTTCGCTCCGCAGGTCCGTGGGGGCGATGCATGGGCAGTGACTGCGGCCCGGGCGGCAGCCAAAGCCGGGCGGTCTGGTGCGCCCACGTGGACGGATGGACGACCCTCCACACCAACTGTGACCAGGCTCAGCGGCCCTCCAACCAGAGGAACTGCTTCCGCGTGTGCGACTGGCACAAGGACCTGTACGACTGGCAGCTGGGGGCCTGGAACGAGTGCGTGCCGGTGTCGGCCAGGACCTTCGGCGCCGCGCGGCAGTTCATGTGCAGCGGTGGCGAGGAGGGCATTCAGACCCGGGAGGTGGGCTGCACGCTCAAGGCGGATGGGTCTCCTGCAGAGGACGCCATCTGTGAGTACTTTGAGCCCAAGCCGCGCCTGGAGCAGGCGTGTTTGATCCCCTGCCCTCAGGACTGCGTCGTCACCGAGTATTCGCCATGGACCTCCTGCTCCAAAACGTGCGGAACGGGCCTCAGGAACAGAGTCCGCAGCGTCCTGGTTCCTCCGCTTTTCGGAGGAGCCAGTTGCCCGAACCTCACCGAGTTCCAGTCCTGTAAACCGGGAGCTTGTGTGGGTCCGGAAGGCCTGTACAGCCTTAGGGTCGGACCGTGGACCCCCTGCGTCCTGCCGCAGACCCGGACCGCACGGCAGGCGAAACGGCGGAAAGGCAAAGGTCAGGGGCTCAGGGAGCGAGGAGGGGTGAAGGATCCTGAAACCAGGGAGCTGATTCAAAAGAAACGGTCCAGGAACCGGCTGAACCGGCAGGAGAGTCCGTTCTGGGACATCCAGGTGGGATACCAGACCCGGGAAGTGGCCTGCATTCACCGGAACGGCAGCAGAGTGGGGCGCAAGTAAGTACCTCATTTTGGATTATTACTCTTTTTGGCTGTAAACACTTTTACAGGATTAGGCCAACTAAAAATATATATTTAATCAAACTGAAAGTTAAATATTACTGCTGTCATGGCAGTAATATTATTTTTTTTTTTTACAAATAATCTGTAAAAAAAAATCTAACTCATCTGCCTTCTCACAGTGCTAATTGTAATTAAAACAGCCAATCAGAACCAGGAGGCGGTGCTTCGCGCTGTCAATCATGCCCATTTGCTAACATGCATGACAGCAGATAAACAGTTTTTCTGTAACAACAGAACAACAACAGTAAGTTGTTTTTCTGGCATTGGACATTTAGCAGCAGATTCACACAGTTGATTGACAGCGCTAAAACCCGCCTCCTGGCTTAGATTGGTTGTTTTCGGTGCATTTCTTCAAACAGTCACAGCAGCTAGGGAGGAGGTGAAAGAGTTTGATTTTTTTCATAGATTATCTGTCTCATGACCTTCTCTCACCACGTGGAGACAGTTTTAACAAATACGTAAAACAAAAACTTTTTAAATAAAAGTTAAGCTCTGCAGCTCAGATTAAAAACAAACATTTCACTTGCCATGTTATTAAAAAGCGATATATTTTCCCAAAAGATAAAACTAATGGACAGAAGAAAACTGTACAGTTCTGTGGTATGCATCTCTGGAGATTAATGCAGACTGAAGCTATATTTAAGATTTTATTGGATATATTAAACAATATTTCAAGAAACTGCAGACAGTATAATTTCCAGGTTGAGAATTTAATATCTTACATATTTGAACCTAAAATTACATGTATTCTGCCATGTTGTCTGTCTCTTTTTGTTTGTTTTTATTTAATTTCTACAAACTTTTGTATGTGACATGTGACGTGTGGACCAATGTAAGAAGAATAGTGGCAGCAATGCTGCAGCTAAATATGAATCCTACAAAAACTAGACTAATCTCAGAATACTGACTTATTTCTCAAAATCTGGACATTTTTATCAGAATTTAGATTTTTTTTTAAGAATTTATATTTTTCTCTCAAAATTCTGACATTTTATTATCAGAAACAGATTTGTTTAAATTGTTTAAGCACCATCTGGCAAATTTTGTGTTAAAACTGAAATCTTCCAAATAAATTTGGGACATGCAGTAGCAACATAATTGACATACACCTTTAAATATTTGCTAATTAATTTGGATTTTGACATAGATTAACAATGAATTAGAACTTTAAAGTCAGTTTTCTTACTTTTTTCTCATCCTTTTCTGTATGTTTTGTTTTTTTCTGCACTTTTATAACTAATTTTTCATACACTATGTTAAACAAAGATCAGGGACGACTTGAATTTTGGTATTTGTATATCTTCCCCTGTCATTTTAACCTCATTTCCTGCCTCTATGATCCGTCTGCTGCTCATGACAGGGAAACATGTCGGATTTGTCCTGCTGAATTTTGCTCCTCCCTGTCAGGAGGCGACACACTGAGGAAGACGATTGTCGGCTGGGTCTTTTTTAGCGCCACGCTGTCAAAACTAAGAGGAACAACTACCATTAAAGTGAATTTGATGTCGAGTTCTGCAGAAGGAAGTGACAAAAAACGCCTCTCTGTGACATGAGATCAATCTAAGCCATGACTTTGATGCTTTTCACACACAAAAAAACGTATTGGGTGTTTTTTTTGTTTTAAAATTCATTAGGAAATCAAGCATTACTCAGACTGACAGAGAACTTATTGCTAGGTCATAAAAGTTTAAAATGCAATTATGAATCTAAAATAAAACTCAAAGCTTTTTATATTTATAGGGTCATTTTTAAATGTCTCCTGTTTTACTTGTGTTCGTTTTCATGACCATATTTGAGGAATAGATACAAAATAAGAAAGAAAAATGTAGCAGGGGATGTTACGCGTTGTTTTTACTTTTAGTGCTTTGAGTTATCTAAAATGTTTGAGGAAATATTTTGATGATACAGTCACTCCACTCTGCCTACAGCTACATCTATCCATTAAATAATAAGAAGTTAAAATAAGAAAATATACAATCAGACTTCACCCGTTTCCTTTTATCCGACTCAGACGCTGTAGGTGAAAAACAGTATTTCACTGCCGCGGTTCATTTCCAGGGATAAAAACATGGATTTGTTTTATGTGGCAGACATCAGCAGATGCTGTTTGAGTGACAGAAGAAGCAAAAAGTTAATCAGTTTAAAGCAAAACAAGACAAAAACATTTTCTTACCTGAGGAACGTTAGTATCTCCAGCATTATCTATGTTTTTGTCGATGGTCTGACTGGTGACTTGCTGCTAAAACAACATTTTATCTTCATGCCTCTTCTGAAGCCAGATTTCCAATTCTTCTTAATTCTGAAAGAAAATATGTTCTGAATTGAGAGATTTTGGTTTTTCTGACCTTATTAGTTTCACAAATCCTTATATACATCAGGGATGTCCAAGGAAAACAAGAGGTCTCACTCCATCTTTTTTCTTGAGTTGCGAATACTTGGCTAGATGTCTGTTTTAAGAAGTTGCATCTCCAAAGTTTTTTTAGTATCTAGAAAAGGCTAACTGTCCTTTATGATGTGTAATTTTAAGTTTTTCTGGCTTTGAAACATTTGATGATTCAAAAGGTCGAGTTCAAATAATTTCAGATAGGAAGAAAGCTAATAGTTTCAACATTTTAAAAAGAATAGTGAGACAAGTCAGTTATTTTACTCAAATAAAAGAAAGTAAAAAATTGGAGCTCTTCAAAATATTTTAAGTGATGAATTATTATCCAACACATATTCTTTAAATCTGAGTTTCTTCATGTCAAATCTAACCTGTTTGACCCGCCTTTATCCTCGCTGAGCGCTACAAAGACGCGTTGTCAGACTGAAAATAAGAAAGATTAATAGCTGTCAGTTTCTATTCACTCGCTGCAAATTCTTCCCGTCTAACAATGTATCTGAGAGCAAAATGTCTGACAGGAAGTTCTGTCAGTGTGAAGTTGGCAGTCGACTAAAATCAAATGTTTCTAAAGGAAACTTGTATTTGTATGTTTCTGCCAAACCTGTCAGAAAGAGTATTTGCTCACACAAGACGTCAAGATATTATCGCTACATAAACTTGTAGAGGATTTTTAATTTTTTATGCGTTGTTGGAAAATCTGGAGGAACTTCCTGAAGCAGTGGTCTCCAAACTTTTCATCCTGAGGGCCAAAATGAATAAATTTAAACTATTGGCAGACCACAAAATTCACTAAATTGAACATTTAAAAATTAGTTTGTGATTTTTGTGATTGACAACAAAAACAATTTTATAATGAAATCTGTTTAGATCCAAATCATTAACAGGTTTTCAGATTGTTGCTCTATTAAAAGAAAAACAATTTACAATTTTTTTTAGGATCATTCATTGTTTTCTACTGACCAAAATAGTTTGACCTGTGCCCAAACAAAATCTTTTCATGGGCCACAATTGGCCCTCAGTCCTCACTTTGGACACCTGTGTTCTAAATGAACTGAAATCATTTATATTAGATGGACATATTGAGGATTAACTGTGTAACGTTTGGCTTTGGTTTAAATTGTTGGACATTTATTGTTGATTTGCTCTGCTAAAAGCTAATAGAACTATCCTGCCAACTGTAGCTCATCATACGATTTATAGAACGCATGTCTTTTTATTTCATTTTTTTAAAATTCAATTTATTTATTTATTTATTTTTTTTTTTGATGAGGGCAAAGAAAGCAATTCTTGGGATACTTTCCGATGTACAATACCAAACTTAAGTAATTTACTACATTGCTTTGACCTAACATTAAATACCAACAAAAACCTTTGAAGTGGAATAAAATTAATACCTGATTTTCAGCATTATTTATAAGAATATACAAAGCGTGGCGTGCATTAGTATTTAGTTCCCTACTCTTTGGTACTACTTTATGAGTAAGTAACATGCTGGAACTCTGCTTGCGTTGCTAGGTAACAGGGCTGGGCCCGGGTGTGGTTGCTAGGTAACGGGGCTGGGCTTGGCTGTGGTTGCTAGGTAATGGCGTAGGTCAAATCTGACTTAACTTTTGGGGTGTTTTTGAAACAACTCATTTATAAGACACTAAGTTAACACCTTAAGTTGTTGCCAAAAAAAGGTTTTTTAGTACTTAGGTTGTTTATTGAAGCAGTTGAGACCCAAATGGAAGTAGAAAAATGTGGAAAATGCCAAATTTGCTTAGTAGGTCCCATTTAAACTATCGTGTTTTTACATATAACTTCATCAAGACTCAGACTTATATTCTTAAGATACATATTTTTGAATATAATTATTGATAATTTCTCATTACATTATGAATTGAAAGCAGAATAAAACATTAACAACCTTCCGATGGTGCGTTTTCAGTTATTATTGAAATGTTTTGGATAGAAATCGCCTCGTCCAACAAAAAAACTCCCTCAGACTTTCATCTGTCTTATGACAAGCAGAACATGATTCCTGTTGTTACTAAAATAAATCTGTCCTTACAGAAAGCTTCATATTTGAAGCAAAGCATATTTCCGGTCTGAGTTGCATCCTCCCTATTTCTTATGACACGATTGTTAAAGTCAAGGTGACTGTGAATAGACAGACCAATTTCACATATTCTGTAAAATAGCTCCACGTTCCTTTTCCTGCCAATATTACGCAGCTGTCAGATGCATACATCTGCTATAGCTACACTTTGTGGACCCGTTAGACTTTAGCAGGATATATATGTAACCCAGGGGAACAGAACTGGTACAATCGTATTTACGATCGCTCTCCTATGAACCCCCAAATGAGGAGTTGTGGATTATTTGGTTGTGAAAAGAGGTTATTATGTGCTTCGGTGCTCGGCTCCGTTTTCATTTGCAGAGTATTTGGTTTGGGACTTCTTATTCTCCGAGAAAGAAAGCTTGACCTACAACTGCACATCCACAAAACGCGTTTAAAAGCTTCATTTTATTCAACTGAAAGTGATGAAACATTGAGTTGCCATAGGTTATC